CTATCAACCCCCTTTCTATCCAGCTATCTATCCATGAACTGGATGATCCTCTGGACCTTCGCTACCTGTTGGTGATGAAGGGAGCACCTGAACGTATCTTAGAGCGCTGCTCCACCATTTTGATAAAAGGACAGGAGCTGCCACTGGATGAGCAGTGGAGCGAAGCGTTTCAGACCGCTTACATGGACCTGGGAGGACTGGGAGAGCGAGTCCTGGGTAAGAGAGTCCTTCATTCAACCCTAATGTAGCCTAGTCATGTGGCTGGTGTTAGCAGAGTAAACGTATACCGTTTGTCTATCTGCAGCGGAAAGGTGACTATTCTCACAGTTCAAGTTTAGCCATTCATCTCGGTGTTGTTTATTTGAAGCACACAGGTCAAGAGACATGAGAACTGGCAAAGAAGGGGTGTGACTCTAACTGTCTTATACCCCTGGTAGTGACATCACAACAATCATGCGCACAGCGCTACCCAATGAACACAGCTACTTAAATAAACAATATGATACACAGTAATACATGGAGTCATACAATATACATATCTCTATATGTTATACCTTAACAGCTGGCCTGTGGAAAATTGTATGCCAAAACTGTCATCTACCTTTTGTTAAACATTGTATCGGGAAAAAGTCTATTTGAGGTTACACAATACACTCAATACACACGTAGGTTATATTTGTACCATTTATTTGAGTAGCAATACCAAATTCATTAGACTTCTTCTCCTTTGTGGAAACTTATATTAGTTAAATTCCTTTTTTGTTCTGCTGTTTCTTCTTTCCACTCCTGCTGTAGGTTTTTGTCATCTCTATCTGAGTGAGAAGGAAGTTCCTCGTGGCTATCGATTTGACGCAGATGAGATGAATTTCCCCACGTCAGGATTGTGCTTCGCTGGTCTCATCTCAATGATTGACCCGCCTCGAGCCACTGTGCCTGGTGCTGTGATGAAATGTCGTACCGCTGGCATCAGGGTATGTCCAAATCGCCCCGCATACTGTACACGGCTTGTTGGTTTAGATATTTATTTTAAATGAGACTGCTTTTTGACTTCAGGTTGTGATGGTGACTGGAGATCATCCAATCACAGCAAGGGCCATAGCAGCTAACGTTGGTATCATCACAGAAGGAAGTGAAACTGTGGAAGACATTGCCCAGAGGAAGCGCATACCTGTGGAACAAGTCAACAAGAGGTATTTGCAAACTACCTATTGCCTTTCTGTCTAATGCAGTGTAATGTTTATTTTTTATTGTGTGATAACTACACATGACTACAGTGTCTGGCATCATTGTCCTTCAAAGAGTCACAAGAGATGCACTGGATTGTTGGAATGCATGCCTTTGTCCATATCATATGTAACTGTGCGTCACTGTGTGTGTGTGCAGGGACGCCCGTGCCTGTGTGATCAGTGGGGGTCAGCTGAAGGACATGAGCAGTGAGGAACTGGATGAAGCTCTGCGAAACCATCCTGAGATGGTGTTTGCAAGAACATCCCCTCAGCAGAAACTGATTATTGTGGAGAGCTGTCAACGACTGGTAAATACAAAGAAAAAGCACACACACACCTCACCTTACTACATATACCTCAATGCAATGTATTTCATAATTAAAAAAAGATCACCAAAGCCAGTTTCCTACATACTGTATGTATGTATAGACACTATAAAGCCAACATCTGATTTCAATATGGTTTCCTGGGAGGATTGTGTATGAGAAAGCTGCAGGGGAAGAAATTGGTTTGCATGTATTCATATCCAGCGTGTATGATCAGATCACATTCTCAGATGTTTTTAATATCTTTTATCCCCCCAGGGCTCTATTGTCGCTGTGACAGGTGATGGTGTGAACGACTCTCCGGCTCTTAAGAAAGCTGATATTGGTGTCGCCATGGGGATCGCAGGGTCCGACGCTGCCAAGAACGCCGCAGACATGATCCTGTTGGACGACAACTTTGCCTCCATTGTCACTGGAGTGGAGCAGGGTGAGACTAAGAGGAGAAGAATCTGTGATTTCACCAAAATGGTGGTCAAACATGGGGGATATTATCACACCTGTCTCTGTTGACAGAAGTCTCTTTTATTTTCAATGTATCTGACCTGAAAAATAGATTAAAAGTGAAAGTACTCGAAGAGATTGCCTTATAGGGCCAGCACCTAAAACTGTTGTTTACACATTTTATTACCTTTTTGGTTACTATACACAGTAAGAGTACAAGTAAAAGTATGCTATATGCTGAATAATGAGCATTTCGTAAATTCAAAGATATTGAGCTGTATTATTGAGGTGTGTTTGTGTGTGCAGGCCGTCTTATCTTTGACAACCTGAAGAAGTCCATTGCCTACACACTTACTAAGAACATTCCTGAGCTGACCCCATATCTGATCTACATCACCTGCAGCGTGCCTCTTCCTCTCGGCTGTATCACTATTCTCTTCATCGAACTCGCCACCGACATTGTGAGTAATTATGTAATTAGGGCCAGTTCAGCAAGAAAACTAATTTCTTATTTATGGTTATTACTCTGGTTGTCATCTCACTGGCAATTGATTTGTATTAAAGATGATGTCTTTAGCTTGATTGTATTTTCAAAAATGACCATGATTAAGTGACCTTTAAAGTCAATTAAAGCATCATAAGCTTCCTTACTCTTGTATCTGCTGTAGTGTGATATATTGTTTATTTATGAATGTCCCTCCTGTAGTACCCCTCTGTCTCTCTGGCATATGAGAAAGCAGAGAGCGACATCATGAACTTAAAGCCCAGGAACCCTCGTCGTGATCGTCTAGTAAACGAATCCCTGGCTGTGTACTCATACTTCCAGATTGGTGAGACTGTGTGTGTGTGTGTGTGTGTGTGTGTGTGTGTGTGTGTGTGTGTGTGTGTGTGTGTGTGTGTGTGTGTGTGTGTGTGTGTGTGTGTGTGTGTGTGTGTTGCTCTTAATTCAGTAACTTTAAATTTAATATTTTACTTCAAACTGTCGAGGAACAGATTCCTTTTAAGTAGACATGCTATTTTGTACCCTTGAACAATAAAGCATATAGTACTTTACCTGTTAGAGAGTGCACTCACAAGTCACTACCCCTGCCAAGTGAACATTATTGACCCATTCTTCCATGTATTCTTTGTCTTTTGATTTATAGGAGCCATACAGTCTTTTGCAGGTTTTACAGATTATTTTGCAGCCATGGCGCAGGAGGGCTGGTATCCACTTGTGTGTATCGGCCTGCGTGCACACTGGGAGAACATTCACTTTCAAGACATGCAGGACAGCTATGGACAGGAATGGGTTAGTAAATACACTTATTAGTTATTCTAACAACAGTTGGGCACATTTTGTCCCATATGTTAATCCAAAAGAAAGTGATTGGTTTAAGGGAATATCTGAGTAACCAAATAACTCCCTCCTTTGTGACCTCTGCTTCCAGACCTTCAATCAGAGGTTGTACCAGCAGTTTACGTGCTACACTGTGTTTTTCGTGAGCATAGAGATCTGTCAGATCTCTGATGTGCTGATCAGAAAGACTCGACGTCTCTCTGTGTTCACACAAGGTTTCTTCAGGTCAGTAAAGCCCCATTCCCATAATGGCATAATGTAAAACATTTGAAAAAAATATAGCTTTAAATGTAGGGGGTTGATTCTCTGGCTGTATGGTGTTGACATAAACATCACCAAAGGTTATGCTGCATTCACACAGTTACCCTCAGAATGGAGAATAGAAGAACAACGTGACACACAGCCTTCAGGAAATATTCAAAGATGTTCACACCTGTCACTAGTCTTGCAGTCATTTAATTAAAACAACTAGTCAGCAACCAGATACAAACAAACGGCGCAAATCTTATATATCGATTTATAAATAGTTTATAAATGTCAGTGTAATACATTTCAGTTCTTTTCAAATGTTATAATACGCTTTGTTTGGTGTTTGATGTTTATCGTCTTTATTTGTGCAGGAACAAAGTCCTTGTCTCTGCCATAGTCTTCCAGCTCCTTCTGGGTAATCTGCTATGTTACTGCCCTGGGATGCCCAACATCTTCAATTTCATGCCAATCAGGTAAAGGCAAACACCTCGATTCAAAGCTCAGACTGGATTTAAAGGAAACGTCTGTATGTTTGGAATTCTGAGCACATACATTTTAATTTATACATCATTAATTCAGCTTCAGTCGGTAGTGAAGCTCACCCGTTATTAATCATTTCTATATTTAATATAAAGCTCTAGCCTGTGGACTCTAATGTTACATGTTGTGTTTTCTTCCCCAGAGTCCAGTGGTGGTTTGTTCCTGTTCCATATGGTATTTTAATCTTTGTCTATGATGAGATCAGGAAGTTAGGAGTCAGAAGACATCCAGGAAGTAAGCCAAGAATATCCTTCTGACTAAAAATCACCCATTTGTTATCAATCAATAACAGCTTTGCCTTTATTGTATGTAATAATGTATTGTGTTGAATCCCTCAGGTTGGTGGGATCAGGAATTATACTACTAAAACCAGAGAGGCCCTTCAATTCATCCTGTGATCCATCCATTCACATGCATCAAAGCATCCCTCATGCTGCAGACCATGGATCAGACATCTATATTACTTTGTGGCATATGTATCACGTTCATATTTGTCTGCCTTAATTCCTTTACCAAAGTAAAAATGTAATAACTACCTATAATTTGTAAATGAATAACTCACAGGTGTGTTATGTTCCAGCTCTTTGACTGTGGCTGCATTGTGTTTGTACTAATAAAAGAATATTAATGATGTCCTCAAAAAAAGTCCTTTGTTTGTTTTAGTTCATGTTTTGTCAAAAGATTGTATCGTTAGTCAGACTTTTAGTTTGCATTTGATATTTGACTGTTCATTATGGAATTTCAACTCTATAAATGAAAGCATGTGTCGATAGTTGAGCGGTAGCCAGAGAGATCACTTTCTAACATAGACAGTGGAACAAGAGGCTGCATCTGTATGGAGGAAAGTGAGCCACCTACAGAACTGAAGGCTCATACAAAAACCAACAGTACATGATAATACCTGGAATGGTATTTATTATATTATTGGTTAAGAAACATGAATAATAATCATTAAAGCATTTCAATATTGCTGCTTTTGACATGCAGACAAAATGAAGCTTTTAAAACCACATCCTTATTCATCAAATTGACCTTTTTCACATTTCATTGAAGGTTTGTTTCAAAGAAGATGAAGATCTGCTCTTCATAGTCCAGTGTAAGAAACAACATCTTAATGACAACCACAACATATATGTTTAACAGCTCTCTTCTGCATTCACACATTTTTGTATTTTAATTACCAGCATAAAAATGAAATTACCATTTAAATATGGCAAAAAAATGATATTCCAGCTAAACTAAGAAAATCACTTTTCTCTGCACCTCTATTCATTTATTTTCTCTCTTCACCATTGTACCCTGTCTACACACGTGCTCTACGACACCCACAGGATGATCTGGTCTGTAAGAGTTCAACACTTTCTGGAATTCTAATATCTGGGTGGGCTTTAGTTGCGCACATTAACCTAATGTTGTGCAAGTGCTCACTCCTTACATGTGTTCCTCTTTCCTCTCCCACTCTATCTCTGCTTTTACTCGACTTTCCAGATGGCTATCTTGCCGTCGCGTCGTGCGGAGCCGCTCAGGACGTAGCGGTCCTCAGCAGAGCAGAGCGTCTGGATGCTGTCTGAGTGGGCCTTTAGCTCCTTCGCCACAGTATGGCTCTCAGCGTCCATCACCAACACCTGACTTCTCGGTTGATCCTCACACTTACCCCCGATACCGCTCCAGGCACGACAGCCCACCCAGATCTGAGGGGAGGAGCGGGCATAAAGGAAAGGGAGCAGGGAATAAAGGATGGCAGAAGAAGGAAAAAAAGATTAAAAGTGAAGAATCCACACCTCAGACAAAAAAGTGTGTCAGTTAACATTTACCCTAACAAATTACGACCACCACCTTTCCTGATAGAAGAATACTTTCCAATACGCATGTCTGTTCTTCATTGACAGATATTTCACTTTAACCTATTTGCATCAAACAAATGAATCACATTTAAGGTGATTCAATTTTGCTTCCTCAAAAAGTGTGTCTGCGTTCTGTTTCCATGAACCACAAAATAACAGGAAGTGTTCAACACACAATTCGTATACAAACAAGTTAGTTAGTTTTTGCCACATGAGGTGTTGTAGCCTACCTGGTCCTTGACTTGGATCATACAGGTGACTCCTGAACAGCCTGGCAGGGAGATTCTCTTGAATGGACGTCTGTGGTTGTTAGTGTGCCAGAGAATCAGCTCGCCTGAGTCTGAACAGCCCGTCCACAACTGACCTCGCTGGAACACACACAGAGAAACTAGGGAGGTCACACTTTGACTTTTAGAAATGTAAAACGTTTTTAGAAATGTCAAACAGAGACAAAAAGCCTTTTATCTGTGGCCAGCAATATTCTATGCATACTAACATCAAGCAGCAAGATACATTATTATATGGTTTTATTTTCATATTCAAGTGGTAAAAGGTTGTGGGTAAAAACCTTAATACCTTAGTTTCAGCTGACCCAGCTACATTACAACACAATAGGGTCCAGTGCTTTATAAACTATGAACTGTTAAGTGCTGGCATGCATCATTGATTTGTTGTTGGCTGCTAATTTGCTTAACTGATCAACATTATTTCTGAGGACTGCCAAGTCACCTCTGGGATGAGGACGAAGCTGCTGAAGATACTGGGCATGCTCAGTAAGTCGTCAGGAAGTGCCATTCTTCTTTGTGGTGTCCCATTCTTTTTCAGTTCCACAATGCTATCGTCACAACCTGTGAATACACGGACACACGTTCACTTTTTTGCTTGAATGTCGCATTTCGAAAGCACAGGTATGCTCAGAGAGGGATGCAGGTTTTATAGTTGGCATGTAGTTTACACAATAGAATGAGTGTCACTGTTATATTAAAGAGGAACATTAAAAGCCACATAGAGCTAACAGGAATCATTCAGCCAATGTGGCTTTCAGTGGAGGGCAGTTAGTGTTCCTTGAGTTTGAGTTGAAAGAAGCAATAACAACTCATCAGAAAGAAAAATGGAAAGGTGTGCACTCACAGCACCACAATGTGCCATCATAGATCTGTATGGAGGACAGACGGTCGCAGCTGACGTGTATCTGTCGCTTCACTTTGAGACTGGCTGAGTCCCACTGCAGGACCGTCCCATCACTGCTGCAGGAGTACATCTGAACATCTCTGTGGTCCACCGTCAGTCCAGTCACTTCATGTCTGTGTTCAGTCAGCTGTTTGTTGCAGGACATGCTGTGAGTGTCAATGATGTAGATCACAGAGTCCTGAGAGCCAATCCACACCTGCTCCTGGACAAATCCCAACATGCAGTTCTACATAGGAGAGGAAAACCGGAATCATTTCCCTAAACAAACTAACAGACAGTATATTTAATGGATTATGTATAACTTTACTTTATGTACAACTGTCTTAAAGCGACTTTTAGCAGAAAGAAGAACTAACTTGGTAAAACACAAAGAAAAGATTTGTTTTTACAGAACAATCCAATCACATGCATGCAGGGAAGTTGTATACATTGGTGGAGTAATCTTTTGAACTTAATTTATGTGACATTAAGTTCAAAAGATTACTCCACCAATGTATACAACTTTCCTACAAGTTGATATTCTACATATAAAGTTGATGGAGTTTCTTTTAAAGAAATGTTGCTGCAATAGAGTACAGCTTGTGTGCTCTCACCAGCTGCGTCTCTCCGACCTGGATGCAGTCCTGCAGCATGGACCAGCTAGCTGCATCAAACACCACCACTCTGCCCCCACTGAGAGCCACCCACAGTTTGGGGTTCATCTCAGCCGCCGAGTCATTGCAAGTCAACTGACCTGGAGTAAGTGACAAAGTGTGAACGAGCATGGGACAAGTGAATAGTGGAAGCCGAGTGCATGCAGTAAAAACATTGCAAAGCAGGGTGGATAAATGAGGACCCCTGTTTTTTTTACACTAACTAATTAAATGTTCTTATTGACAGGGACTTTGAAAGAAACAAAAACAGATCAATACACACTCTATATCCCAGCGTGAGTCACACACTTCTTAACATCTTGTTTGTTATCCTCTATATTGATTTGAACTCAGTTGGGTCCAGTAGCCTCCAGTTGTTTTTGTTCTCTGTCACAGTGAGACAAATGAGCGACTACAAGGTCGCCATTATCCTGCCTGCTAATACTCTCCCCAACAAGACTAATCCGGTTATGCGGAGAGTTTTCACTGGAGCATCTGCTGCCTCACAAACATTTACACACATGAACAGCACTGAACTCATTACCATTACACAGAAACTTCTTTGTTGCTCTCAACTTTAAAGGACATATAAGATCATTGATAAGACGAAAGGGGAGACAAACAACTTTGAAAGTAAGACGCATACAATTAAGTCCTAATCATACACTCTGTAAATAGCTCCACATAGTACCTGGTGTATAAAGCAGCACATGAACAGTCTGTGGTTCGGCCAGGTCCAGTGAGGGGTTGATCTTGTGTTTGAGGGTCTCTGAGGTAGTTTTAGGCACCATCATGGGTACTGGTCAGAGACAAACACAATTAATGAATGACAATGAAGGGTCGGTGGAAAGGATTATCGAACCATAATGTTAGAAAGAACAAAGATTTATAGCTAAAACTATTTGATGATTAATCAATCAAGTAAAGCACCGCATATTATCTAACTCTAATTATTTTAATATTCAATTATGTTTTAATAAGCAAAACTGTTAAATATGTTCTAGTACCAGATTCTAAATAGTGATGACTTAATGCTCTACTTGGTATAAGATAGTAAACTGAATATCTTTGAGCTTTGGTATGTTCCAACCTTTGGCTAATAGGCAACGTTTTCTGCATTATCGTCTGCCATTTTATAGTGACCAATCCAATAAATTCTTTATATGATAATGCTGAGTTTTAACCCAAATGTCTATAAAAATACGTATAAGTTATATACTATTTATTTCTGTGTATAACAAGAGTGAGCCCAGACCTTCATATTTGATCTTATCGAAGTAGGCCAGCTTTGAGGCAGCAATGATGGACCTCTGTGTCTGCAGGCAGCCCATGACAGCATCTATTAACAGGACATTGGTCAGAGCCTGAGTCATGTACTGAGGGTCCTGAAGAGAAAATAAATAAAACATATGTTAACATAATCTAGTAACAAGTAACTAAATCACTGCTGTAGTCATCATATAATATATGTGACATGTATGGTTTTGCATTATTTGTCAACCACATTTCTTTCGTGCAGAGTATTTGACCTGTGAAACTGCACTGTTGGCTGACGCATACATACTTTTCTTGTTGGTTTTTAGAAGAATTCATTATTAAAGTGGTGTGCATCAACCTTTTTTATACCTTGTGCTGGTCGGCCATCCTGCGTCCGGCCCACATCTCTTTCACCATGAGGTTCCAGAGTTCGGTCTCCGTCTTTAGATTAGCCTCAAACACCTCTAGCTTACCAGAGGTCTTAATACGGAGGGAAGGAATACGAACAAGTAGAAACGGAGCTGAGGAAATCTTCACATCCTGCAAAAAGATAGCGGGAGTCATTTATTTAAATACAATTGCAGGAGATTGAAATGAAAGTTCAACAGACAACATGATTTCAGAAAAGACGGTTTAAAGACCCTTGACCTCTATGTCTCTGAACTTTGCTATTTCCAGGAATCCTAGTCTTCCCACGGACAGCAAGAAGAGACGTTTCTGAGTCATGGCAATTTTACCGACGCCATGGGAGGTCTTGATACACGACGACAACTTGTAGACGCACTCGCTATTGTCAAGATGGTCTATGACCTCAGAGGGCAAGTCAACGTCTTGTGCCTGGCCCTCCATCTCCTTCCAGAAGTTGTAAAAGACTTTGAACAGATCCGGCTCCACCCGCTTTGGCTCGCCTGGGACACAAACACATACAAGACAAAGACATGTTGATACATTGAGGGGGGAAAACATGTGAAAATGCAAGCTGAAAATATGTACATTAAACCACATGCACAAATTTTTTTTTTTTTTTTTTTTTTTTAATTAAAGCCTATCATTGTTCTTCATATGTTACTAATGATTATCTGAATTCACAAAGTGTTTGTTCTTCAGCCATGTAACAGAAAGGTCTGCTTTTGTTGTCTATCTAGCCATGCATGATGAGTTCAAAGACTTTGTGTGAAGGAGCTAATTGGTCCGTGGAGTATCACACTTTAAGCTAACAACTTTAAGTCGTAATCCTTTTCCACCACTGCCTGGTTTGGCCAAAAAAAGGTTATAGGAGTGGTGAACTAAAGTAGTAAAGTAGTGGATTGTCTAACCAAAACAATGGCCTGAAAGACTCTTAAATGTCTATAACGCTGAGGGCACCTACAGAGTCCGGTGGTAATTGTCCGTCACATTTTTAAAATTCATTTTAAGACATTTTTCATTTTCCTGACACTGATTACAACAAGAGTTTAAAGTCTGATTAATAGGTAAACATACATTCACTTTATTTGTCTACAAAACATATATAAAAATATTAATCTCCTTCACTTCAGTTGGACACTTGTTTTTGCGTTTATGCATGTGTGGCAGGACTTATTTGTGTGTGTGTGTGTGTGTGTGTGTGTGTGTGTGTGTGTGTCAGGCACTGTGCGGCACAAGTTGTACTTCACGCGTACAAAGCATTAAATCATTGCAAAAGATCATCTAACATCTGCTTGAGAGAAGAGCTGTAATCGATATATCGTCATGTGAGGCTGGTGTAAAAAAAAATTATAATTACTATATAATAACTTATGTGTCCACCATCAAAACAAACAAAATGCCTTCAAGGTTTACTTATTTTCCACTATGTATTTCGAATGAATTTGTTGCACTTCGCCTTAACTTACACTGCTTTGGGCGAAATACAGCATTTGTAAGTCTGAGGTTTGATATTTGAAATAGCTATACAATTCATTAAATGTCAATTATCAAAGGGGATGTCTTAACACACATCATGCTGCCTGTCCTTACTTACCATCACTGAGTGCGTCAAATAACCGGTGTATAGTTGCTACATCTTTAACAATCCCGCACTCTTGAATGCAACGCACAAACTCCTCCAGATGCAGAGTGTGTAGGGGAAGCTTAAACTTCTTGACGTGTTCATCAGGCTGCACCAACAGCTTCTCACTGTCTGTCTTCACCTGATAGATGAGAGACAAAAGCATGTGCATCTTCTCTACTTTATGACCACAAAAAGGCAAAGTAGCAAACATATTGCCAAGCGATTTCACAAGATGGGAATAATGTGATCTAACGTAATGTGTTTGAAATTGACCTTAAGGATTAGTCTCTTGAGTTCAGGCCGCCTGTCAGCTTGCTGCCTCTCGTCTCGGTGCAGCGAGTCCACAAGCCATGTGACCAGCTGTGTGGGGAAGATGGCGGTGTCTGTCCTGTAGAGGTTCTGGAAATCACCCAGAGCCTCCAGCCGCCGCCCGTACAGCGTGTTAATGAAACCACGCAGGTAGTAGAATCTGCAGAGGGAGAAGTGATGTAATAAATCCTCAATTCTTTTGAGAAATACCAAACATTTTGTGGAAGAAGAGCAAGAACTGAGAGTAAAATCAACACGAACATTTCAGATAGACGAACAGTGTAATATGGTAACACTTGATTGTACGAATTAAAAGGGTGATGACAGTGTTGGAGCCTAAGGAATAATAAAATACCTTGCCAGCAGGGAAGAGTTCTCATTTTGGACAGAGAAGATGGCTTTGCCAAGCTGCTGGATCAGCTCACTGTAATAACCTTGGACAGAGTGGAAGGACAGAGAGGCTGGGAAATCTGGGAGCTTAAACACCTTTGTTGGTTTAGGAGGAGTTCTCAGCACTATGACAAAGAGGGTGGAAAACAGAGAAGCAGGGTTTAGTGTTTTCCAGCCGCTCTGCTTTAATTTGAAAAGTTTGTGCGTCTGCTGCAGTCTCACCTGCGTCAGGGATGCTGATCCTGCTCAGTAGTGAGTTTCTTTGAAAGCTGATTGTTTGGTCGTCTCCCAGGTTAGGGAGGCTCATCCCCAGTCTCTTACTCAGCTTACTCCCTGCAATAGAACTTCTTCTACGGGCTTGAACCTCCTGCATGGTGGGTCTGCGTGGTGCCTTAACCATAGCTTTCACCCTAGATCAGAATTAGTAATGTTTAAGATTGTTGAAACGGTTTATAAGATGCGTTGATTTCTCATTTTTCCAAGGCTGTAGGTCACGGAGCACTGCACACAGATGAAGTGGGTTCAATGACTTACCGCTGCATGTCAGAACGAGTGATGAGTTCCATTCGAGCAAAGTTGTCAATTTTCCTGTTGAGACGATCCTTAAGGAAGGAATGGAAGATGTGTGTATCCAACACCTGCAACACAGACACCTTGATTTAAAGCACCTGGCCCAACACAGCATTTTGCTTAGAGATGTCAGATGATTTGTCAACCATAAAGAATATCACTTGTTTTACCAAGTTTGTGTTTACCGTTTTGTAAAACAGCTGTTCAGCTGGCTCTCTAGTTTTCAGGAACTCTTGACTGTTAAACACTCGATGTTCATAGTTCAGATGACAGCTAACATCCCTGTTATTTAGAAACATGTATTTATCAACAAAAAAAATATGTTTGGGTTAACCATCCTGTTAGACCTCAGTACACAAACACACAAAGAACCTGAATATGTTGACCATCAGTTCCAGTGCGATCCTCTGGATGTCGTGGTTGAGGTTGTGTTGCCACGCTCTCCTCCGAGCACGCTGCTCACTGATGTCGGAACAGCTTGCATGGTTGCACTGATGCAGGTCAAAATGTATCTGCAGGGCCTGACACCTGCAAAAACAAACTCATACTATAAACCAATAGAAACACTTTCATATCTCTGGCCAAGTTTGATAAAAATATCAATACATTACATTACATGTTACTTGTTAGACGCTTTTATCCAAAGCGACTTACATACTCAATACTGTGGGCAATCCCCACAGGAGCCATTTGGGGTGAAGTGTCTCAGGGACACAACGACATGCTGACTGCAGTGGGGTTTGAACCTGTGCTCCCCTGATCCGAACACGTTTAAATCACCTGTAGCATCATAATTCACGTTTTGTTTGTACTTGTGTATACTACCTATAGAAATGAGCAGTAGTTGAGCTACTAGTTTATTACTGGCGTTACAGTAGTACCTCTGTGTGAAGCAGTTTGCAGCGGCCGGGGGAATCTCCGGTAGGTCCAGAGTCTCAGAACAAGAAGTGGAGACACTGCCGTTGTCAATGTTAATTAGGATCAGATGATCTGTTTCCTTGATGGGGGAAGGAGAAGAATAAAGTCAATATTTTCCTCATTTTGTTTGTCCATCAATTAATAAACTTATAAGCAATATTTAAACCTAAGGTTTTTCTGCCATCTAGGAATATTTTGTCAACAACAGATAATAGTCAAACATAATGCAAAGTATTTACCTAAGCAGTGACTTGAACTGTATTAAACCTGCTGTAGATTAACTTCCTAATTGTACAACTATTTCTATAAATAAGCTGTTTTGAGGCCAGAGGCAGAACCAATAGAGATCCCATTCCTATTATAATCTAATCTGAAGCAGAGATATATTTGCTCTTGGATATGTGCAGGCTATCAGCAGGTTTAATGTACATTCGGCACACGGCATTCCCCTTATTCTATTCATTTTCTACTGCCTTTGATGACACACTTTGTCCTGTTTTGAAAGCTGTAGGTAATTTAGGGGTGTTGTGTACTCACAGCAGCAACCTCTTCAAAGTAGCTGAGGTGGCAGCCCATAAGGAAGGCAGTAGGAGCCATGAGGAAGTCCAGCATGCCTCTGGCCAGGACAGGAACGTATGGCTGCTGCCACAACAGAGGCTGGAAGCAAGGCATAGATGGACACATTAATGAATCACAGGATTAAATGATGGAGTTTTAATTTAATTTCAATTTCAAAGTTTTATAGTCATATGCACATAAACTACAGTGTATAAATGACAATGAAAATCTTATTGTACATTAAGACGAAATTAAATACGGTTAAGGACGACCTGCTTAATCAAATATTGACAGGAAGTCAATAATGTAAGGTTTCTAACTGCAGCCTTGACCTATTACTCATTTAATCCACAAGCCATGTGATTTTAAGACATGAGCCTTTAAGACATTTTGAATACATATGATTCATGAGTTAAACTCAATAACAATCTATTCTAGATCATAAGTAATTTCACTGTGCCCTAGCAGATATCCAAACACAGATTTTCCTCTGACCTGTAGGAAAAGCAAGAAGCTCTCTGCCACCAGCGTGAGTCTTGCCCAATCGGCAGAAAATAACACCACCCGCTGCTCCTGCAGGAGACAAGAGAGCACCTGCAGAGACGGGGCAGAAAAACCAACAAACAGAGAACGAGACAGAGCAAATGTGAGCTTCCTCTTGTTTCAGTAACATTAACACAGCAGGTGTTTGTAGTTCTGTACCTGTAGCAGTTGCTGTGGCCTGAAGCAGAAGAAAGGCAGATGGAGGTCTAAATCTATAGCTGGGTGGTCTTTGTTTTCTCTGGATGGTAATACGATGGTCAAAGGACGCAAGGTAAACATCTGCAAAACATACACAGTGTTTTAGTTTGTGTTCTTCTATCTGGCTGCATTCACTGAAAACAAATAATGAACGTATGCTACAACTGACACTATAGTAATCGATTATATCAGCAATATTAACCTGTAAACTCCTGGATCATTATATTATGAAGGTAAACGTTTACAGGACCACAGTACTTAACTAAATATAACACACACACATACATATACGCACCAAATGTAGTTGTCCAGGAGGGGGAATGGGAACCAGGGAAAGTTTGGCTGCAAACTCCTTTACTCTCTCCTCCATGTCAGATAAACGACACGTTCTCAGCTGGATTAACAGACTAACAAAAAGCAAAGGACAAACAGATATTAGCATAAGTTTTGTATTGTAAAGCTAAACTCATTTAATTCACGCAACATCTGTGAATACTTTTTTTGTTTCTGTTTATTACGATCTTTATGTTCAATGTTACTTGCTGGGAATTCAAATCCCTAAGTGCTTTACCTCATTGACAAATAAGCTAACTACATTGTTTTACTGACAGTTTACTGAGTAAAGAGTGCTTTAAATAAACCAAAGTTAGTATCTCACCATGACAGGCAGTCTTTGATTGCAGTAAAGTAAGGATATTTGGATATGATACAGATGCCGTAGGCAGAGAAAAGCTTAGAACACTTAGAGGACCCAGCTCCGTTCTGGAAGATAGACTTCCCTTCCTGGAAAACATGAGAAAGAGAAGGAACAGTCAATTGCTTTCAGTTCAGTTGAATATACTGTACCTGCTCTATGTTGGCAAGCTGTTATGTGACACATGCTCATTGTTTACATTGCCAACGTTTACTGTAGGTTAACTGTTATGTGTGAAGTATTTCGGGAAGTATTCCATGTTGTACAGCGTACCAGTATTGGTCGGTAACAATGCATTACTACTCCATGGGTCTTGTTGCCAAAGACATCAGTGAAAACCAGGAAGTGGAATTGTTCGTCTTTCTGCTCATTAGTTACTTGGAGCCCACCTGGAAACAGGAACAAAGTATCCTACGTGTTAATACACAGGCATGATATACTACACTTACAAATGATCCCTTTTGTGCTACTATCAACATGCATGCAAATTCAAATATCTCTTTTTTTAACCAAATTTGTGCGAGCGTGTGAATATGACATATTAAGAAAATACCCGGGAAGCAGAGTAGGGGTAAAGCCATGAGGTCGATGTCTTTCGGTACACTGACATCCTCACTCTCTCCTATGCCACCTGCTCAAATAAAACAAAACAAAAAACAATTATAACATTGATAAAGTGAAACCAGGGAGCAATCATCCAACCAAGTTCCTTTCGGACACATATGATTTATTATTATTATTAATATGAAGACTTTTTTGCTTTTTTTGTTGAATATACAGATATTACCATGAATGTGGATGGATACTGTATTTTAACAATGCGGTATTCTGTTTTTCCTCTCTGAAGAACCAGCACCTTACCGTGGTAGAGAGGTTTGTGTGCCCTGATGAACCTGGGGGCTGTGTTGTCTGGAACCTTGTGTTCCTGGTAGGGTCTCCCATGGCAAATTGGTCTCAGGCAAGGGGCCAGACTAAGATTGGTTCACAAGACCTCATGAAAGACGACACACGAAGTGAGTATACCCGGCCCGGAGGAAGCCCGGGGTCCCCTTCTGGAGCCAGGCCCAGAAGGGGGACTCGTCAGCGAGCGTCTGGTGGCCGGGCTTGCCACGGAGCCCGGCCGGGCACAGCCCGAAAAGGCAACGTGGGCAACACCTCCGCTTCTCCGTCCCGCGGGCCCACCACCTACGGGAAACAGCGATGAGGTCGGGTGCGCTGCCAGAAGGGTGGCAGTGAAGGCAGAGGGTCTAGACGGACCAGCCCCGGGCGGCAGAAGCTGGCTTTGGGGACGTGGAACGTCACCTCTCTGGGGGGGAAGGAGTCCGAGCTTGTGCGGGAGGTGGAGCGTTACCAGTTGGATCTGGTTGGGCTCACCTCTACGCACAGCGTCGTCTCTGGAACCTTACTTCTGGATAGGGGTTGGACTCTATTCTTCTCCGGAGTTGCTCAAGGTGTGAGGCGCCGGGCGGGTGTGGGGATACTCACAAGTCCCCAGTTGGGTGCTTCATTGTTGGAGTCTACCCCAGTGGACGAGAGGGTTGCCTCCCTACGCCTGCGGGTTATGGGGGGGAAAACTCTGACTGTTGTGTGTGCTTATGCACCCAACAGCAGTTCAGAGTATACAGCCTTCTTGGAGACCCTGGAAAGAGTCCTGTATGGGGCTCCTGAAGGGGACTCTTTAATCTTGCTGGGAGACTTCAACGCACATGTGGGCAATGATGGAGAC